TTTTCACAATGAATTACATTAAGTGTAAATGCAAAAAGCTACTGTAGTCTCCCACAAAAATATCTTAGAAATTCATTTTCCCTTATTATATTCCTCCTACCGGATATTGTGATTTTTTGTATCCAAAAGATCTATCTAGCAAAACTCAAATATTCATATAAGATTTTAGCCAATTTAACACTGAAATTCAAAATGTCCTAGACTATACTAGGAACTGAACTTGAACTACAAGTTTATAAAGCAGGCATCATTGATCTTATGTTAAAGGAAAATGAGGTTGAGAAAGATAAAATAATTTGATCTCAAAACTACCAGACATTAATGATGCCACAAGAAAAGACWAAGAGAAGTAATACTTGTTGTATGACAAATATGTATCAGGCATGCAACACACTTTTGCACACCTTTCCTCAAGTAATTGTCATCACTGCTTTGTAAGGCAAGCAATATTTCCATTTTGAAGATAGAAAACTGAGGAAAGAAGTGACTTAAAGTTGACTAAGATTTATACACCTAGTTAGCAGCCAAGAAAAGATAGAAATTCTAGATTTTTGTCCTCAAACTTTACTTACTATGATCTGAGGAAGTTGGTTTGATTTGTTTTATTTGTCGTGTTTATATTCTACAGAGAAGAAAACAATTTCAGTGATCTAATTTTAATAAAATGATTTCTAATTCCTTGAGAGAACTGTATCTGTGCTGATGATTCCTGGTAGGGTCACTATCATGAGTCTACCAGACTATGTTTTAAGAACCTCCAGATTTTATAAGATTATAATTTCCTATCTTAACTACTCAATAAAAAACCTGGAAATGCTTAAACAAAGATCTTTACTCCAATGCTTCCAGGCTGCCATCTATATGAGAAAAAGGCTATTTCTCACCATTACTCCCTTTTAGGATATTCTCTCAAGAGCAAAATATAGGACATTTATAAATGCCAGTTAATGCAAAATATAGAGGTTAGCTAATAAATGCCAAACAATAACAATGGTGAAGCATTTAGCATACAAATGGATGTCAACCCAGTATTAATCCAGTATTAATGAATTAATACTGAAAGCGTTTTTATCACCAGAATAGCTGCTTTGCAAAGAATCAGACCCCTTCTTAAATCAGAGGCAAATAACTTAAACATCAGTTTAAGCAACAAAGAATAGGAATTAAAGTGTAGAGAAAGAAACTAAAATTCTCTCCATCCTATCCTGTGACCTTACATTTTAATAATTTAAGCTTATGGTATTGCTCCCCACGACCTAGCTCTAAAAGAAAGAACAGTAGGATAAAGGTGGTCTTAGATAGAAAACATCACCACTTCAAACAAACCTCTCCTTTAGAAAGAGAAGTAATATTTGTTTCAAAAAAATCAAACCTCTCCTTTAGAAAGCTCAGAGATTTATCACACAACATATTTTATCTTCTATTAAATCCATTTTAAATCCATTTTAAAAGTTCATCTTCCTTTACAAATTCTCCCCTGTCCTTTCTTATCTGCTTCTGTTCTTCCTCAAGATCACTCAAAAGAATAAGGTAGAGATACACAGTGAGCTCAGGCCAATAGTTATCAAACATTAGCTAGGCCAGAATGGATTCTTAATTAATAGTAGTTTTCAAATTTTGTTCTACTGAAACCAAGAGTTGTATGAAACAGTTTTAGTATCTGACATTAATTTAGGGAAAGTCTCAAGTCATCATTGCTTCAAATATGTCTTCTGTCCTTTTTCTTTTCCTTCTGGTATTCTCAATGTATGTATGTTCTACCTTTGGTTAYTGTCCCTTAGTTACTGTATATTCTGCTCCTTTTACTAGTCTTTTTTTTCTTTCTTCCTTTGTTTTGTGAAATTTTTTCTGACACAGCCTAAATCTCAGAAAAATTCTTTATRATGATTTTATCTCTGCCATATCTCAGTCTGATTCTGATGCTTGCTCTGTCTCTTTATACTGCTCTTTTGCCTTTTAATATGTCTCCTAATTTTGTAAGTTTTCGTTGGAATTTAGACATGATGTGCTGCTAAAAGGAACTATAGCTATGAGGGCTTTAGGGAATTGTCTCCTTTGTCTCAGTACCAGGTTCACATTCTTGATATTCATCCTCTAGGGCCAGAGTTCACTAAGGACAAACATTTGCCATTTGAAAATGGATCACAGGAGCAGGAATTAAAAGAGTACTACCAGTGAGGTTCCAGATGCAGGATCACAATTAATTCTCAATAAAGAATTTTTGATCGTGTATGTGTGGGTTTGATATTTTTTTGTTTGTTTATTTAGCAGGTTTTTTCATTTGGTATTTTCCTCCTTTCAACACTTAAATATTTCACTTCACTCTCTTGTTTACCTGATTTCCTGGGAGATATAGGATTAATTCTTATTTTTGTCCCTTGTTGCAGTATCAGGGTCACATTCTTCATTTTGGCCTAGTTTTATGGGCCAGTGCTCATTTTTGCCATATATGTGCAGTTTGTAAATTACTTGTAGTAGAAGCAGTGAAACAGTAGTGATAGGGAGGTTGCAGAGGATGTTTCAAATTATAAGTCCTATGAATAGGTCTCAGTCTTTTTAGTGAGCCTGTGCCTCTGACAGCAACTGCTTCTCAGTCTACCCCCACTCCCAYCTCCTTAGGTGGAGCAGGATGATTAGAGCCAGCAGGAGTTGAATACTTCCTTTCTTCACCCTTCCCCAGGTCTGTTAGGTTCTGATAAAATCCTAAAAGGCTCTAGTAAAGTATGTGTAGTACTTGAGAGCAAACCTTGTTAAGAAGAACAGAATGCTCTGGTATATTTCAAAATGATTACTTTTCCTCTCCTGTTGTTAGAAGCATCAGGGGATTTCTCCTCCCCCTCCCCTTTAATATTCACTGTAGGAACTGGTCAAACTCCTGAAGGGAAAGTCACAAATGACTTTTGTCATTATCCCTATGTCTTGGTTCTCTTGGAGTTTTTAATACTCAAATTTGTTCACACTGGGCCTCAATAATTCTTACAATTCAGATTTGTCTACCCTGGCAAGAACACTATTGATTCCTATGGTGATTTCTACCCCTGGATTTCAAATAAGTTGCAATTCTGTGTATTTGTCTTTGTCCAATTTGGGGGCAGCAGTTTGCTCTATGACTTCATTCTCTTAAGTTAAGAAGAACTACTAACTTTTCGGTTTGTTCAACTTTTTATGTGTTAGGACAAAGTGATGAATTCTAAGCTTATTCCAGGCTGAACCAGAAACCACATTTTCATTTCTCACCTTCACATTTTACTAATTGATTAGTAATATATAACACTTAWGAGGGAGAAGGAAAAAATTTGGAAATCTGAATGTCTCAATGGCACATGTATTACCTAAAATATGATTAATTAGTTTTTATAAATAAAAATGGGGCAGGGCTGAGGATATAGCTCAGTTGGAAGAGTGCTTGCCTTGCATGCACAAGGCCCTGGGTTCGATACCCAGCACCAAAAAACAAAACAAACAAAATAAAAATGGTATAAATTATTAAATACACTTCCTTTCTTTCAGAAGCAATGAAACATGGACAATCAAATATTGTGGGGATCATTTAGATCCCATGTTATTATAAATTAAATTGTTTCCTGAATGAACACCCAAATATTAAATTTCCATAGGGAATATAGAAAAAAAACTATCCTAAAAAAAGAAAAAAAGCTATCATTAAGTACTACAATTCATTGGTCATCCTTATTGCTTAATTTTCAGAAAAATAAAGCCTGTTATTTTATTCCTGAAATAGCATTATCATACCTTCTACACAAATTTAAGTTTTAGAGATTTCCTCTAGAAGAAATAATGAATAAAGAGAGAGAAAGCTAAATTTTTATACAAARTGTGGCATTTGGATGCCAGCCCCCAACATTTGCTATCACCATGAAATTAACATTTATGGAAAACAATTTACTTAGAAAATCTTAATCCACTGTATAGTGCTATTTGCCGGCTCTTACAGCAAGAAATACAGCCAACTTTTTCCCTCAAATCAAACTGAAAAACACCTTCCTACATTTTATATTACTTTTTTAAACTTTATTTAACTGAGTTTTAACCTACTTAACTAAAAGAATGCTGGTTTAATAAGTTAAGGTAAATAAATAATTCACATTAAGAAATCTAAAAGCACTGTTATAAAATAATCCTCCACACTTAGTAAGACTATCAGAATGACCAGACCTAGGGGATATTAGCAGTATCTTCACTTTACATATATATATATAAATTTTACTTCAGTATTATTTCTATATCTGCGATACAATACAAATAACAGACATCTCTAAAGCCTTTAAACAGTACAGATAATGAACCACTACAAAATTAGAAACTTGGGCAACACTTTAAACCATGGGATAGCTACATTCAGACAAATAAATTTTCCTAGGAAGATAATGAAGAATTAGAGTGAATTAGATGGGTTGGATGATCAGAAAAAGGATAGGAAAAAGCAATAACAAGTGAAGGATTTTATAAATATCTAGAAAAAAATTTTAACAAAAGAAGTTAGTCAAATAGAACAAAAATGACTGCCTGAGTAAGATGGAAAAGAATATTGTAAAAGTTCCACCCTGAATTTACAAAAATACAAAACATGAGACCCCACATTCCTGAAACCCCAAAACAAAGTCAATATCTAAGTAAAACTGTGACTTAGTATTTGATATAGTTCCTAACTACAGTAATAACTGACAAAGCAGATTCAATTATGTCAGCTCACAAGAGATAAAAATTTAAAACATCAAAAGGAAAAAAAAACAACAAAACTTAACCTATATAGTTTTATCAGAGTTATATGTGTAAAAGTAAACTGTTCAGGTGACCATGCCTATGTAAGAGACAAGATGGTCTAACAGATGGAACATAGAATGTACACCTGCTCCAGAAATTGTCATATGATTATATCATCTCTAAAAGTAGACTATATTGAGGAATAGGGTTCCTGATTTATAAAAGGAGAAAAATTTAACAAAGCCATTTTATATTAACTGTGAAAAATGGCTTACCTTCCTTTCCCAAGAAGAGAAGACATTCATGAAACCACGGAAATCCAGGTGAATATATTATTGCTTAAATCTGGGTCACAAAAATTATTAGCTGTTCAAAACAAGACAAAAGAAAAAATGTTAATTATTTTAWAAATATACATTTACTTTGTTGTTAACATGAAATATATCTCACATGAAACCATTCAAACAAAACATATATCCCCAAATCTGCTTCTCCAGGGTAGCTTCTTTGAAAGACTAAAGAAATAGTTAAAATTATTTTTAAAATTCCTGACGGCTAAATGTGAAGAGATGTAGTTTTAAAACATTGAATCTTTATAGTTATTATCCTACATTAATATTTTTCCCTCAGAAAGAACATGGATTTTGCCTAAGACATAAAGGAACCACAGCTTTAAAAAAGGAGGCAAGGGGGAGGGGGTCAAGAACATTCAAATAATTTCAAGGACAAAAAAAGAATGTTCCCCTCCAGAACATATTTACAGTCCCTCATCCAGAATTCAACTAACATCCAACTGAGGAAATCAGCCAAGGTTGACAAATTAAAATATTTGTAATCTGACAGGTTATCTTCTATAAATATTCAAATATGGAAGTTTGTGTGCATGCAAGGGTCTCCACGTGCCAATCAAAATGCTTTGTTTGGGATTCTAAAATTGAGCACTTTTTTCACCCTTTTGTAGGAATCCCCTGAATCCCTAACTTTCATTTTAACTCTCTGATTAAAAGGTAATCTCTCTATGGGTAGTCTGAATTAAAAATTAAAGGGTAATATTCACATAATCATCAATAGCCAAAAGCAAAGTATCCATGCCTTTGAAAATCCAGGTCTGTAAAGAAAAAAGGAAAGATCCAGGAGCGGGAGAGGGTATTAAGGATCTAGAAGGATGGCAGCTAAAAAAAAAGATTAACTTTTTACTCATCTGATCAGTTATGCCTTGGTAATATAAAACCCTAGATGTAAAGAACAATTAGCACACTTTATAAATTTGGTTTGTATTCAAAGTTCTATTTAGAAAGACTGCCATTTATTTGGCTCAAGGCAATGTCCCATATTTTTATGACAAGTTTGAGTACTTGAAACTGCAAAAAGTGGGGAAAAGCAATCAGTATGAGATTAAAACCAAACACACTTTTTGAAATCCATAGACAACCCTAGCATTAAGAGAAATCAATAATTAACAGCAATAATGGCTTTAATGAAGACAAATTATCTGAGACAATTTGCTAATTGTTTCATCCTATCTCCCATTAGTTAGTTTCCTTTAAATATGCATAAGATTACTGAAAAACCTCAGGCCTTTCAGGAAAACAACAAGTGATAAGCATACCTCTACATTCAGGGCAGCATTAAATTGTGAAAGAAAATTCAACCTATCCAGAGGAATCTGCCTCTTTGGTGATGGCTCAGAATAGATCTAGATCAGTAGGTTTGGAAGAAATTATTTTACTTTATGATTATTCACCACTTATAAAAGGAGAAAAAATTAACTTATTAACAAAGCTATTTTATATTAAGCCACCATCCAACTGCAGGTCCAACAGTGGATCCAAACCAAACGTTAGTGGTTCTCAAACCAGAGAAAGGAGAAAAGTCTGGTTTAGGAATCAGTAACTTCAGCCTTCTCTGAGAGTTGTTAGAAATGCAGAATCTCAGGTCCTGCTGAGGACATACTGAATCAGATTTAAGCATTTAAATAGATTCCCCAGTGAGTTATATACTCATTAAAATTTGAAAAGCTCCCATGGGAAGGAGAATAGTAGAATGAAAGAAAAGTTATAATCTTCTGTTCAAAGCACCAGGCCACTGTTCAGCCAATATGCAGCCAATTCTTAACCTCTAGTTTATAGCATCATTACTTCTATCATAATTGTTTATACTCTAAGTAAGGGCTCTTGAGAAATAGGAACACTTCAAGTACCAAAAAAATTAGTATCTAATGATTAAATCTCAGATCCCAAGATAGCTCTGACACAGTAATCTTAGAAGTGGTCCTATCTCATGTTCCCAAATCACGTTAATTAGATAAATGACAGTTATGTGCTACATAATGACATTTTAGTCAATGATGGACTACAATACAATGACAGTCCCATGAAAATTATAATGCCTAATGAAGTCTCAGTCATCTTAGTTTGTGTAAGCATACTCTATGATATTCACACAATGATGAAATTACCTAACAATGCATTTCTCAGAACTACACTCATCCTTAAGCAATGTATAGCTGTGGTTAAAATAATAGCACCTCCAAAAAATAAAAAACAGCACCTCCATTCCTTCAAAATCCTTAGCACTATGAACATTTGGGGTCCTACTAACTAGAATATGCCAACATGTAACTAGAAAAGGAGGCTATTTGGGCTGATTATTCAGCTACTGTTTCGCAGCTCCAAATCTACCCCTTTGACTAATATTTACCTCTACTGAAAATAGAACTCTGAAGCTAGTTTTCTCTTTGCCAAGTATCTTCCTTATACTTGAAAAATAAATACACTAGAAAAAGAATACAAGCTTTTGTCAACCATCATTGTCTCAGCTGAGTGAGGCCCTCCATTCCAGCAGTAGCAGTTACTTGAAACCACCATCTTTTATTGACATTCCCAGAAGTATCCCTCAGAAATAGCAGCAGCCAAGGCAGTACCCTTCTAGAGATTTTGAATCCCAACTCTATATGTCCCTACTCCAACCTCTTTATTTCCTGACACCTATGTATGGATGGTAGCTGCTTTCTGCAATTATTGTGTCTGTCCCCTTTGCTTTTGTCAGTCCTATAAGACCCATATAATCCATTCCCTTTACTAAATTTTCTTGAATGCAGTGTCTAATATGGATTTTTTCCTGGACTGATCTTAACTGATCCATCTTGTGTAGATGGAATAAAATTCAAAATGATCTTGATCACTTTGGAAAACTGTTTACCCAAAACATGATAATCCACAAGAAAATATTTATTGCCTCTCCCCCCAAATAGATGCAAGATGGGAATGGATATAAGAAATACAATTGATAAAGAAAGCAATACAGTGAAACTCTAGTATCATAAAAGAAAACACACAGTAACTCTCAAAAACAAAGAGCCAATAAAAATTCTGATACAAAAACTTTTCACTTTAAATAATAAAAATCATATAAGTGCAGATATGGAAGGAACTTTATTATTCTRTCTCTGACATTATTCACTTTTGTTAAAGCAGTTTTGTATCTAGTTTGGGTTCCTACACTTCAAGCTGTCAAGAAATCAGTGAGAGTACAAAGAAGATTACACAAATGATAAAAGGAAACAGAAAACATGAACCCTGAAGAGTCTAAAAATTAGACTTTTAGTCTAGTTTAGTGAAAGGAAAACTCTGGCCAACACATTAGCTGTCTTCCAGTTTAAGAGTTCTGACCAACTGTATTTCATCTCTCTAAAGGAAATGGGTTTACCATAGAAGATGACAAAGTAAAAGAAGACATTTATGTCTCCATTTTAACGGAACTTCTTAGCTTACTGGCTCTCCTTGAAATGACTAACATGGCAGTTCTTAATGCTAACTGCACCTGAGAATTACTTCGGAAATTTTTGCAAAAAAGAAAAAATGTTGTTGTTGATGATGATAATGATGATAATGCAGCACAGAATCTCTATGCCAAAGATCTGATTTATCTTGTCTGAGGCACAGCCCATCATATTCATAAAAATTTAAAAATTCTCAAGTGTATTACATACTGACAAAGGAAATGAGAATCACTTAATGGAACATTCAGTAGCTTTGCTACTCAAGGTATGGTCTGAAGACTAGCAACATCCAGATTACTTGGGAAGCTTGTTAGAAAAGCAACATCTCAAGACTACTACAAAACTACTAAAAAAAAATCTACATATATTAACCAAACCCCTAAGTAATCCTTATGGCACATTCAAGTTCAAATAATAATTTGAAAGGAATGGGGGGGTAGGAAAAGAGAAGAGTTAAACTCCAGCCTAAAGAAACTTTTTAAACTGAATTTTTCTAGTTTTAGATACAAAAGATTTTTACTTTAAAACTGTTAGTTTACTAAGAACAGAGGATGAATAGTAATGAATATTCAGCACATACTATATATCAGCATTATTCTTTCTTTACAAATTGATTTAATCCTCAACACAAGTCTATAAAGAAGATATTTTATAATACCTATTTGGTCAATCAGGCAAAATTAGGTATGTAATAAATAACTTGCTCCAGATCACACAGTTAATAAGGAACAAATCTGAGTTCTAAATCCAGGTAGTCTGTTTTAGGTTTCAAAAATAAACACAAAATAATACCATTTTCCAATACTACTCCAAAACATCCTGAAATCATTCAAGAGAAAAGTATAATTATTGGTAATACAAATTCTGTAAGAATAAAAGACAAAGCAGTGTGCTTTTCTCCATTAAAAAACAAATTCAAGGGCTGGAGATGTAGTTCAGTGGTAGAGCATTTGCCTCGCATGAACAAGGCAAAAGGCTTAGGATTTGAAGAAACCAAGGAAGTTTTAATAGTGATATAATCACATCAACACTATTTTGGGTCTGTAACCCACAAGTAAAATAAGCACATGAAAGAGAAGACAGTAATCCAGGAGGTAACTTAAAACTCCAACTTTATCAGTATTTTGAAGTGAGTGAGAAACAGAGCAATACTACACGGGAGACTATCTTACAAGACTAAAAGTTTTTTAAAAACCACTTTGTTAACTATATTTGGGAAGTAACTGAAATTCCATATTAGGAGAAACAGTCTCCCTTGTGCCTTCTAAATCTACCTCTACAACTACTTCTCCTACCACACTATTACCACTACCACTGCCACGCTTAGAAAAGTAAAGTACATAAGGCTAGGATTATTTTTCACAATAAAAGAGGCATAACATAAATTTAGCCTGATTTTCCTCTTCTTCTGTACCCCACTGCTCCCAACTTCTAAAAAATGTTCACTTTCTTTACACTTGTCATTGCAGAGAGCAAGAATTCCAGTTCCAATAAGCTCCAAAAGTTACTTCCATAAATGTTGAGGAAGATTTTTAAAGAAGAGGTCAGATAGAGGCTATCAGTAAGAAGCCTACTAGAAATTTTA